AGAAAGGCGCGTCCAGACAATACGCTATGGTCACAGCGCATTATCAATTTCATTTTCGGATGAGGCATGTCTCGGTGAATGTTGCAAAATTAATTGCAAAGAATTTTTTTTTTCTCATTTTATTAAGTTTAAACACTTTATTTCCCAAAGGAAAACGCCTACCCACCGATAGCGCATTTCCAATGAGAGGAAGTGGAACAGGCCCTGGCGGAAGACCACGCCGGCGCCAGTAAAATTGATGGAACGCCAAGGCAGCGGTGAGAAGGAATCCAAGAACATAGCTCAGGGAGAAGAATCTGAAAATACTATTGAAGTTCTTTTTTTTGCAATGCTTTAAAGATCAAAATACCTGATAAGGAGTGCAAAGTAGAGGCTGAATAGGCCACAGGCCCAGGCGATATCCTTAAGTTCCGTATCTTTTTCGAGAATTGTCATTCTGAAATATTATTCCGGAATGTGTAGAGGTCATAAAGTTTCTCAAAGCTGGGAATTGTACGCATCAACGCTTGTGAGGTTCATGGCATTATATTTGTTTGAATAGAAAATTAGAATTTCTAACAAATACAATATTCATATTATACAATATATTTTCAAATCACTACATACATAGCATATCAAATTTGATGTTTTGCTTTACTTCCTCTTCTTTCCAACACGTTTATATGTAGCCAGGAGTGTTGTCGTCTGTCTCAATACTGTTGAAAGACCAAACTTCTCCACATTCCCAAACTTAAATATTTTTCATGCTTTATTGAAATCCTAGGAACTGTGAGCATTTGAATAAAATGCGTAACAAGTTGATGCAAGCTCCCATTCAGCTAAGAGTTTTAGTAAACTATTTTTCTTTTTGCAATAAGAAAGTCTGAAGTCTCACTTACAGTGAAAACATGCCAATAAAGGCAATAAATACGTTCCAATATCTCACAGCATCTGGAATTCAAAGATGATTGACTAAAAGTACGATAATTTCAGTCATTTTAAAGTAGTGTTTGGATTTAAAATTTCGGATCACAATAGATAACAATACTTGCACAGGAATCCGAACTTTACATTAAAACGATACACTTCATATATGGAAGGAATAATAATTTTATTGATGCCGGCTTTGCGGTACACTTTCAGATTTTCACATTTGAAATAAATGAACCCATAGGGTTTTTTTGCAAGCGAAAATTTATTAAATATTGAAAAATTGGAAGTCTATTGTAACGCAGGTCAAAGCTACCGTATATATCTCGTCCGTACCTGTTTCTAGGTGTTCATTTGAAATAAGAACTTAGCGCATTAGTTATTTGCCATTGATGTGTTTTTGAAACGATCACATTAGAGGAAATATTTAACGAGTAAAACAGACGACAGGAAAACAATTAAACCAGCAATTTGGATATTTCTATAATAGGTTCTTCGAGAGTATTTCAGCGGTTCATAACAGTGAGAAAAATGAGTTCATTTAAGTTGTAATTGAATATAGTTTGAGATAAAGGGCTGGTGTATGAAAAAATAGATAAAATAGTTAGTCCAAAGGGGCAGGTGTTATAAATATATTACGTTTATATAGTATTTATCTAATGAAAACTTTACTCCATGCGATCTTATGTAGCTAATTTTACAGAACGCTTCAAGAATTTCTTAACAGAATATTTATGAAGTGTGCTCTGTCTCAAAAGGGAAAGGAAACAATGATAGAAGATTTGATGTGCGCTCAAGTTAAATGCCCAATTTAGTCCTTGGCTGAGAATCTTCTAATTATTGTGAGAGATACAATTTGTGATACCGTAATCTATTTAGTGTACTGCATGCACTCTTATAGAATTCCCACACACTATGATAGTCTCGCTATGGACTTC